TATTTTTGTTTTATCCCTAAATGAAACTGAGGCCGTTGTGGGAGGAGGCGACTCCCCCCAGGTGTGTGGTGTGGAGACACAGGTGCCTTGCTGGGGAGGCTGCCCCCAGGGTCTACTTGCAGATATGTAGTTCCCAATTTGGGAGAGCTGGAGGAGGCTGCATGAGCCTGTGGGGCATAGCGGTTCACAGGGAGCCCAAGATCGGTCATTCCGCCTTGAATTTGAGAGGAGAATCAGAAAATACCAACTTCTGAAATGGCAACTAACAGAGAGACACATTGTGCTCAAAAAGTCACTTAGATAGTAACTGTTGCTGATAAGAAGATGTTGCTTCCTAAATCAGAGCCAAGACCTCTTAGACCTCCATTCAGTAATGGGATCACTTGGATTCTTGGAAGCTGTGTCGGCTGCCTGGTGATCAGAGGGTCTGGGTTTGGGTCATCAGAGAGAGGGGTGCTGTGGTGGAGCGGCCTGGCCCGTCCTCTGACCCCGGGGCGGGTGAGGGGGGCCTTGGGAGGCTGGCAGCCGCAGGCCAGGCTCCAGAAAGAACTAGACACAGACACACACCCCAGGCAACAGGTCAGGATTCGGGTTTGTTCACTTTGTCTGCTGTGAGTGTGGCTAGTGGGAATCCGCTTCGCCATTCCTAGGTGAAGTGGTAAAGTCTGTTTTTTGCAACAGTACGCTGTAACGATGCTGTCCTTACTGCACTTTGCACCAAGGCCCAGAAGAGTCTGTCTCTCTCCTCTCCTCTTTCCTCACCTCTCCCCTTCTCTCGTTTCTCTTTTCTCTCTTGTCCACCTTTGTGTCACAGGAGCGGGGCTCTCCCTGTAGTCTGCCTGCCATGCACACACATCCTGACCCTCCTTTGGAAGGCCGTGGCTGTGTCACAGTGGAGACTGTTCACGGTGTCTCCTTCCGCTCCTGTGCGTCCACCCCCAGCTTTCTGCTGGAGGTTCACGTGAGCACATTCATTGCAAGACTGAGGGCCTCAGCAGCCAGTGCAGCTGTGCGTCTTTCTCGGGTGTGTTGAATTTGCAGGCCTTGATGTCTCATTGCATTCATCTTGTGGCGGTGACCTCCCTTCTGTCTCTCGTAAGGACCAGCCTGTCCAGAAGCACCTTGCTGCCCACGGTGGTTCTTCGTGACTCCCCGACCCTAGGCTGCTTGCTTTCGGGTTTGCTTCTTCTTGCAGACCAGGCAGCACGGACCTCATTTTGTAGCAGTGAAGTGACACCTGTGCTTGGTAACAGCAGATCTCCTGCTTAGGATTTTGACCCAGAGAGAGGAGGCACAGAGCATATCTTCTGGAGTCTGTTCAGTGTTACTTGACAACAAATAAAGAGCTTTTCTGGAAGGAGAAGCCATGGGAAATAGAACTTTCTTAGCCCCTCACCTGTGATTACTTATGCCCTGACACTTGCCTTGTGCCCTGGTGACCCTTCTTCTCTCGGAGTCGCGTTCCAGCGCTGAGCTTGTGGGTTTCTCTCACTAGCCGTGGGGGCTGGGCCTCTCAGGCCTGTGTGCATCCCCGTGGAAGAGGAAGGTGCCCTTGGCTAGCTGGATTCCTTGTTGGGGCCACACTAGGCCTTATGCAGCCGATGGAATTCCTTCAGCTGTTGCCTCTCTGGAGGAGACCGGCGTTCTCCTTGTAGAGTGCCCTGTAGGAGAGTTTCCACTGGGTCCAGCTCCTCAGAGCCCGGGTCAGAGAGTGGATTGATTGCAAGGGCCTGTCCAAGGAGAGGATGGACTGACTCATGACACCTGGACAGACTCCAGCAGGAGACGCGGGGCCTCCTCCAGCTGCTGGCAGGGCGCCCGCCTCCTGCAGACGGCCCTGGGCGCGCTGGGCTGCAGCAGGCCAGCCCGAGGTGGCCAGGGCCCACTTTGCACCAGGGCTGTTGGCGCCAGAGCTCGTCCTCCCCGCTGCGGGACGAGTTCCTCCTCAACCCCAATAAACTGTCATGCCCAAGGTCGTGGGGAGTAATGCGAGTATTAGTTCCTGGGGTCTGGGGGCAGAGTAGGATCCAGGGGCTGGGAGGAAGTGGGGCTCCGTGTCCACTGGCTTTCCCAGGGGGTTGAGCGGTGTGGGGGGCAGGAGCACGGGGTGGACCTCCAAAGGCCTTAGTTCTGGGGCTGCCTTGACGACGTGCTGCGCTGTGGCCCTGGGGGGCTCTCTAACCTCTCTGAGCACCTTTCCCTCATCTGACCGAGAGAGAAAAGCCGCGTTGTCTCACCCGGGGTCGGTGCGACCGGAAGGGAGTGTTTGGGAAGGTTCATGGCAGCCCTGAGGCCCTGCCTCTGCGCACACCCTCCTGAGGGGCTCTCCCCTGCCTCCCCGCACACCCTCCTGATGGGGTCACCTCCAGGCCCTGCCTCTGCACACACCCTCCTGAGGGTATCTGCCCACCAGGCTCTGCCTCCCCCCGACCCCGCACACCCTCCTGAAGGGCTCTCCCCACCAGGCCTTGCTTGCTGGGCCTGGGCAGCTTCCCTGTCTCCCCCGCGCCCTGGAGAAAGAAGGGCACGCTGTGCCCTCCTGAGAGGAAACCTGCGTGGGCGCTCTCAGATGCAGTCACCGCACCGTGTGTTTCCCATAGTGCTTTTAAAAAACCCGCTAACCTATTATTAGGTCCAGTTGCCTTTTATTTGGCCCTCACAGCAATATAAAAGCAAGAGTTCTTGTAATGAAGTTTAAAAATTTAGAGCTTCCCCATCAAACAGAAGCAGCAGCTTCAGTTTCCCGGGGGTGAGGCTGCCTGTCTGCAGGGGACACATGCCCCTTGGCCCCTTGGAGCCCCCTCCCCTCACCACTGTGCTCCCTTCAGAGGGAGTTTGGGTGCTTGCCTGCCTCTGGAGGCATTTGATCTGACCCGTTTGAAGACATGTAAATCCCGTGGATGTAAAACCTTGCATTAATGATGGAGGAACTTGAATAGGAAGTCTCATTTTCAGATTGTAGCAAAATGACACAAACTTAAAAACTGCAAGTTATTTGCAAAAAGCCCTTAAAAGTTGGTGGGCGTTAGTCTAACATGAAACATACTGTTTACTCGGGCAGTACCACTGTCATTAATCCTGAAATTTAGAATTATTACATTACCGAGTATGCTGTAGGCATAGATTTTCTTTGAGTGTTTGTCTGTGTGCTCACAGACAACATCTAGCTCATTGTCTTAACCCTCTGGGCACCATTTCTGTTCAGCATTAGACAGCCATAGGCACCAGCTTGTGTTCCAAGCTTGAGTAAAAGGTTTCATTCTTGTGGCTTCCTAGCCCCTCGAGAGAGTTGGGGGTGCCCTCAGAATACAGTTTGTTATGCTTGCTTAAATATAGTTTGAGTCTTTCATAAAAACAAAGCATGTTAAAGACAACTCAGCATCAGTCATATCAGTGTCAGATTCCATTTAGATTCAGATTCATATCATTAGGCTAGCTTCATATTGTTTACAGGAAACAAAAATAAGGACTTGGAAGGAAGTAAAAGAGGGGGAGAAACATATTCCAGGTGATATCAACCAAAACAAAACTGGCATAGCTTTATTAGTGTGAAATAATATTTTAAGGTAGAGATTGTTACTTCACAATGGTAAGCTTTAATGTACTAAAAGGAATAATTATTGATTTTTTCTTTAGTCTATAGATCAAACAAATCAATAAGATTGTAGAAGGTTTGAACAATACAGTTAACCAGTTTGAACTATAGCCATCAACTATGTTTCAGGACATAATTTGTGAAAACTAGCTCTGGGCTCTGAAGTATTTGAAAAAAATATTTCAAAAACTTCACTAAGGCCATCGTTCTTAACATTTTGCAAGTACTAGAGTCCTTTCAAAATCCCATCCATCTTACTAGGTCGGGTTTCTCAGCCCTGCCATTGTTGACCTTTAGGTGTAGATGACTCTTTGCTGTGAGGCTGTTCTGTGCACTGTAGGATTTTAGTGGGATCCTGATGGGCATTTTAGCCCACTGGATGCCAGCACACCTCCCCACCTGAAAAACGTCTCCAGACGTGGCCACACGTACCAAAGTCAGTACCGGGTTGAGAACCAGTGCGTAATTTTGCGCGTGATGACGCCCCTGTCCAGCAGCTAGGTGGTCTTGCCCTCCCTGAACACAGTTGAATGGGATGTGTTTTAAGAACACACGGGACAGCTGAGGAGCCCGGAGCCTGGGCCGTGCTGGGCACCCCTTCCCTGTCCCGCACGGGCAGACTCGCACCCCAGGCTCTGGAGGCATCCTGCAGGTCCTGCTGCTGAGGCTCGGAGGACTCCGACTCCCATCCGGCTGCACAGACGGTCGGCTTATCTTCTGTTCTAGGCCTTTTGCTCGGTGCTAGTCTCAAGAGTTCTAGTCCATACAAGTGAAAAAAAAATTGTAAAATGTGTGCTACACGGGCTCATGAAGGGAGTGTGTGTGTCTGTGGAGCAGGTGACGACATGTATGGGCGCGGAGGAGACTTCAGAGAGGAGGGGCGGCCGCTCAAGCTGTGTTTGGCAGGACGCCTGGGAGTTTACAAGGGGCGGAGACTGGAGGCAGGCAGACCGGCAGGCTGCGGGGTGGGCCGGCTCGGTTTTGCTGTGGCTGGTGTGACAGGAACAGGAGCTTAAGACGTGTGTGCGGCAGGCATGCTTAGGGCTTGGACCGGCCCGGCCAGCAGTTGACGCGTCTTCAGTGGGCACGTGACACAGGCAGGCTCATGTGTGGAGAGTTAATGTGAGTGGCTCTTTGAAGGACAGGTTGGCGGCTGTGCAGAGACCCCAGCTGAAGGATGCGGTCTAGAGCTCACCGCAGCCTCGGGGATGGAGGGGGACGAACCTGCAGGGAGTCAGGGCCCCTCGCCCCAGAGGCTCGTGAAGGGAGGGCTGCACCCACGACTTGTAAGGACACACTCGTCCCTGGCCATAGAGGACGCTGCCCTTAGCTCTGAAAATAAAGACATAAGTTTTTATTTGAGAGAGATTTTTTTCCACTTTTTATATACATTTTTTTCCTCTAGGAAATAGACAGACGGTTGGAAAAAAAACTGAAGATCACACAAAAGGAGAGGTAAGGCTGCTGTCCGGTCTGAGGGCTCGCGCTCTGCCGTGAGTGCTGGGCAGCCAGTGGCGTCTGCAGCTGGCCGTTAGGTGTGGCAGGTCAGGCTCGTGGGCAGCAAGCACTTCCTTTAGGGCCAGGCACGGCGGCTGTGGGAGTGAGGCTGGAGTGGCCCCCTGCGCGCTGTCAGTGGGCCCCTGTGAGGCGGCCTGCAGAGGGGGTGGCGCCAGGTCAGGGCTGGGCGCGGAGGCGCCCGAGGTTGGGGCTCGCTGTCTCTGGACGCCACTTTCCTTCTCTGCGACACAAGGCGGTTGGACAGGCAAGTGCCCTGGGCCCTGCGCGGCTGGTGGCTCAGGGCGCCACGAGGGCGTCGGGAAGAAGAGGCTCTCGGGAGTTCTTCAGGACCTTTCAGGGTCGCTTCCCCCACTCAGGTAGCAGCGGGAGTGGGTTTGCAGAGCAGGTGCAGGTTGACTGGAGCGGTCTGTCTTGGCCCTGCTGGCCTGTCAGCGTCCCACGGGGAGGAGGAGAGGGCTCTGCAGGCTTACCTACTTGTCCCTGGGGGCCTAGGGGCCTGTCCACCCGCTGGCTTCCTGGCCCCCCGCCTCTCGGAGCGGAGCGCTGGCTCCCTTTCTGTCTGCGCGCCTGGTCACAGCTCCCTGGCCACCCGCCCTGGCCTCCCAGACCCGCTCCAGGCCCCGTGGTGGCAGCCCCCCACCGCCCCCCCGCCCCATCACGACGACCCCTCCTGACCACAGGGCCCTGAAGGCAGGCCCCTGGGGCTCTTTGGTCCTGAGGAGGAGCTCGGGGAGAGTCCTCGTGGCCCTTCCTCTCCGCTGGCTCTTGTCTCTTCCCTGGCGTCTGCCCCGCCCGCCGTGCACACGCCCGCCGTGCACCCCCGGCCCTGGGCAGTGCCTTTCCTTGGAGCGCTGCCAGGCGCGGTCTCCATCATCCTGGACCGCAGCCTTGCAGCGTCCAGCAGACCGGAGAGCCCTGCTGCGGGACGGGAGGGGCTTTGCTTGGGACCTCTTCCGAAGGGGCCGCCAGGGTCCGGGAGGCGCAGGCCCCTCAGCAGAAGGCCGGGCCGTGTGGCCAGTCCCGTCTCGATGCCGGTCAGGGCAGTGGGGCAGGCCCCCGGAGCCTGGGTCTGAGGCATGCTGGGACCTTGACCTGGAGGGAATGCTTTGCCGACCCTCAAGCTAAGGGACTCCCACCTACCAGCCTGTTACATTCTGGTCTGCGTAGGGAAGCTGAGGTTTCTAACTGAGGCCGATGGATTCTGGACAAGAGATGTTTTGCCACAGGGGCCAAACTGTGGTGGTTGTGACTGTGATGATAACGAGGAGAGAAGTCTCAGAGTGAGCTGGTGTTCCCCCACCCCCTCGCCTGGGGTTCCGTCTGGGAAGCAGACCTGGGGCTGTGTGAGCTTAATAGGCAGGCTTGCTCTTTGGCGAAACCCTTCCTGACTGAGAATTTCAGTGTCTGGTCAGCGGCCAGAGACTAATGAATAGGCTTGTGAGGGGATAGTCGCGGGGGCGCACTGGGTACTCCATCATCGCGGACAGGACTTCTGAGGCTGTGTTTGCTCTTCGTCAGCAGGAAATCCAAATCTCCTCCCAAAGTGCCCATTGTGATTCAGGACGATAGCCTTCCCACGGGCCCCCCTCCACAGATCCGCATCCTCAAGAGGCCCACCAGCAACGGTGTGGTCAGCGGCCCCAACTCCGCCAGCAGGCCGGCCCTCCCGGTCAAGTCCCTGGCGCAGCGGGAGGCAGAGTACGCGGAGGCCCGGAAGCGGATCCTCGGCAGCGCCAGCCCAGAGGAGGAGCAGGAGAAGCCCATCCTCGACCGGTGAGTGCCGCCCCCCGAGGGTAGGAGTGTGGCCTGCGGGGGGGGACGGGGCTGTGTGCTCAGGGGTGGATGGCACGGGTTCCAGTTACCTTGGCCGGTTTCAAGCGCCCCTCCATCGCTTCCTTCTGCTTAGCTTAGACCTACCTAACCCTCTGTGTCCTCACCGTCTCATCTGAGAAACGGGATGATGATCGTCTGCCTCATCTACTTATTTTATTTATTTTTTTTCTCATCCATTTACTGCACAATTGAATGACAAGTGAGCTGCGGATGTTGTCTTCTGGGTCTCATGTGGCCCACTCTGAGGTTTTTGTGAATTTTCTATTCATGGCTTTTTTGCCTCTGCAGCCCTAGAGGTTGCTTTACGTAAGTTTGTCATCTCCCGGTAAAGCAGTATTTGTTAGAACATCCTCCTTCTAACTAGAGAAGCCTCTTTGGGAGGGAGGGGGTATTCGGAGGCTTGGCGTTCTAATCTGTGCCGCACTTCTGTGCCTTCATTATTCTGACGGACTTCCGTTTTCTCTCCTCTGAGCCTTCATTTGGCAAAGTAGAAGTCCATCCTCTTCCAGCTCTTCACAGTCCTAGAGTCAGCTCGGAGGAGTGGCGGGGCGGGGCAGGGTCCCTGCTGAGTCTTGGTCAGAGGTCTGAGCCTCAGCCCGGCCTCTGGGGAGCCTGGCCCCCGAAGGTCTGCCGGACACGTGCTCTCCGTGGCCACTGTCGCTGCCCCTGGACAGCACGGGCCCTGGGGCACGCCCCCCGCCTCCAGAGTGCTGCGGACGCTCGCAAGCAGGGACTGTCCTCCCCATCTGCTCTCCGGGCTTCCCAGCTTGGAGGTGCGCCGAGTCTGCTCGCTAGAGTAGTAGGCTTATGGGGCCAGAGTCGGCCGGGAGCCACTGGCCTCCACCCCAGACGCAGGAGTGGACTTTAAGATCTGGGGGCCGCTCCTTTGCCCTTTCTCAGGCCTCCCTCTGGTCTTCTTTCAGGCCGACCCGGATCTCCCAGCCGGAAGACAGCCGGCAGCCCAACAATGTGATCAGACAGCCTCTGGGTCCCGATGGGTCCCAAGGCTTCAAACAGCGCAGATAAACGCGGGCTGCCAAGGATGCCGCCGCCTGCTGCAGGCCGCACTGCTGGGGCAGACCGCTGGACTTGAGCAGAGGGAGCGACCGACTGACTTGCACTGTGATCCCCTTTGCTCCGCCCACTGTGACCGTGACCCCCCTGCACTGTGACCTCCTTCCCCCTCTTCCCGCTGCGAGTGGCGTGTCTCCAGGGGCTGTCCCCAGTCAACGGAAAGGGAAAGGGTGGGGTTAGGGGAGGGTTGGGGGACCCCCCAGGGACTCAGAGTAGAGAGTCAGGCAGTGCCCCTTGGCCACTTGGGGTGAAGCCAGTGCCAGCAATAACAGTTTATCATGCTCATTAATTTGGGATTTCAAAACGCAGGTGAGAACTCCCGTCCACCACCCTCAAGTGCGTGTCTTCATCACTTAAAAGCAAGTTCCATGGGAAAGAATCCTATTTTTGTTTATACAAATATTTGATTTGCAAAAAAAAAAAAAAAGTGCATGGGAGAGGTTTTAGCAGTTTAATGAATTTTTAATTGAGAAAGGATAGCTTGGTAGTCTACTTAAAAGTGTTTCTGGGAAATTCACCAGAAACATTAACCAATAGGACTCTGGTGAGCTTAGCTTCTGTGTTCCTACTGCCGCCCCCAGGACAGACGAGCACCCATGCCTATACCCCCTCCCCCAGCTATGGCCCAGGGCCTCCGCGCCCTGCCTGCAGACTGGGCTAGCTCTGTAGGCTCCGAGAGCCTGGGGAGGGTGCCAATCCCTCACCTCTAGTATTTTGGGAGATGGAGAAAGTGAACAGACTTCCCCTTCCAAAACCCCTCAGGGTGGTTCCCTACCAGCCAGGCTTACTGCTTCTGGAAGAAGGCAGGGAGTGAGGTTGCACTCCAGGCTATGGGAATAAGGGCTGCGAGACTTGCTCTGTGTTTTGCTGTCAGCACAAGGGAAGCCAGGAGAGAGTCTGACTCCAGGACTCTGAGCCTCCTGCTAAGTGTGGTCAGAACATAGGTGGACTTTCCCGCTCCAGCAGGACTTAGAAATAACTCACGTGTCTGTGGGGTGCCATTGCTGTCGATGGCTTCGGCTTGGTAACTGTACCCAGGACATTTCCCTTGTGAAATCACTACCTTAGGAGCAAACCATTCTGAGTACGTTTGGGGAAAAACAAGCTGTGCATTGCAAAGGTTGGTAATGACAGACTGGTTCCCCCTGTGCCTAGGCTACCCTCCACCCCTTTTTTCCAGAGCAAGGGCCTTGAGTGAAGGCAGTTTACCCTCTGTCCTTAAAGCTTGGAGACTGGCTTTGGCTCTTTGAGCTGGAAGAGGCTTAGAGGGTTCCGCCCAGAGCAGCCGTGTGTACCATCTGGCCCCTTTCAGGCTTTCTGAGCTGTCCCGTTGCACTGCACCTGGCATCCCTCAGCCAGCCAGACGGCCTGCCTGCTCAGCAGATGAGTTTTGGAAAGGGTGCTGTGACGTCTGTGGTTGGGGCAGCTTGTACCGGCCACAGTGGCGGGCCAGGTCTTGCAGGCTCGCTCCTGCCCTTGGTCCGCTTGCCTCACCTCACCCTGTGGGGATGTCAGTGGGGCCCAGCAAGCCTTGGCCCATTGCGTCTGCCGCTTAGGAGGGGAGGTTGGCTGCCAGCCGAGTCAGCAGCTAGTCCACAGCACGGGCTTACCACTGAGTGGAGCCTGGAAGCGGTGTGTGCAGAGAGCTGGACCCAGCTTCAGTGAGAGCCTGCAGTGTGCTGAGTGCCAGCACAGGCTGTTCTGAGGGGTGGGCAGGGGGGGAAGGCTGCTGCTGTCTCCACGGCCCAGACCAGGTTTCTGCGTCCGAGACGGACAGTGTCCATCCCTCACGTGACAGTGGTTTCTGGCCCAAGATGAGACTGCTTTTCAGCTGGAGAAGGTACAAAGGTCGGCAGGTAGAAAGGCCAGAGGTGCTGAGGGTCCCACTGTGGGGACCATCTGCTCTCGCTCCCCTCTTCCTGGCGGGAGCCCAGGAGGCCGGCTGACGGGTGTCTGGATCGAGGGGGTCGTGGGGCCTGCCGCTCCCACTCCCTCCGGCCAAAGATGGGCTCTGCCCGCTGCGTGCCTGCCCCCACCCACCCGCAGTCTACCCTGGCTCCCCAGACAGAGAGGTGACAGACAAAACTTAAACGAAATGAAACAGGAAACTCTTGTGTTGGGGGGAGGTGGGCGGGGAGATGGGAGAACGGTTTGGATTTCGTGTGTGTGTTTGTGGGGTTTGTTTTTTTTTTGTAGTTGTCTGTAACTTTCCTTAAGTGCTTTTTTTTTTTTTTTAAGTAAGCTGCAGGCTTTGGCTTGGAAAACCCCGGAGGGGTGAGGGGGGCAGAAACCTGAGGCTGTCCCCTTCCCCAGCTCCCCCCTCACCCCCGAGCCAGGCCTCAGACCTCCCAGCTAACCGCTTCCCATGAGCCACTACTCTGATGTCAGCCTATAACCAAAGGAGCTGGGGGTCTGGGCCTGGTGACCCGCCCTTCTCCGCCCACTCAGTCAGGGTGCTCCCCACCTGCAGGCAGGAGGCAACACCCGATCTGCTCCCCTCAGCCCCTCCAGGGCCCCGCCCCGCCCTCCCCTGCTCGCCCCGCCTGGGGACACTCTGCTCAGGGACGGGCGGCAGGGCTGCCCCGGCCTCCCCGGTAGGCAGAGACTCTGGAAGCCTCCGGGGTCCTGTTTTCGGCCATGCGGCCCCTGGGGTGCACGCGGGCCCCTCGGGTGTCTGAACACGGGGGCCCGGGAGGGAGCCTGCCCCCTGCCGTCCTGCTCTGCCGGTCCGGTGGGCATGCCCACCCCACCCCGCACCGCGGGCTCCTGAGTCAGCAGATGAGGCATTTTATAAATTGTATTTTAAATACATGTTTTAAACTTGTCAAAGCCTTGTCCTCATTTCAGTCTCTGACCTTCTCACCTTTCGCTGCGGCTACGTGTTTAACCGCTGGGAGCGCTCTGCTCAGTCCCAGGGAGGGCCTCTCTGAGGACAGGACTGGGGTGGCGTGTGAATTCAGGCCAAGAACCCAAACCCATCGACTCCCAGGGAAGGAGACCCCTGGGTCCTGGGTCTCTGTTCGGGAGAGCACGGCTCAGCCCCCTGCGGGCCTCCCCACCCCACCAGCCACCTTTCCATGGGGTCTGCCTGTGCGAGAGGCCTGGGTCTTTCCCAGGCAGGTCCCTTACACCCACCACTTCCTTCAAGCAAGGGGGAAGAATGCCTGCCCTTGCGGGGCTCCTAGTCCAAGGCCTGGAGACGCTCATCTGAGGACAGTCCCGTTCTGTGCTTGGAGAGCACAGCAGGTCAAGACTTGCACCCGGGCCGCCTCCAGCAGGACACCTGGCCCTCACCAGGCTTTCAGGGCGGCTCTGCCTTCAGGGCTCTGGAGCCTGAGGCCCCACTCTGACAGTCGGGGGCACGCGGGCACAGAGGCTGAGGTTCTTGTTTATTGGCTTACCAGGCCACAAGAGCAGTCCAGCATCAGCCCCTGCCCGGCGGCCCATCAGACGCAGGCAGAGTCCGGACTTGGCAGGGCCAGTGGGTTCGAGCCGGTACAGAATTCATACGGCCGGGTTCCCTGGGGGAGAGGCGGGGGAGAAGGGCGGGAGGGAGGGAGCCACCCCGTCTGCCCAGGGCAGGGATGGAGCCCCAGTCGGGCTGGGGGCCTGAGTCCTAGGCTCGTGTAGTTTGGTCCCAGCAGGCCCAGGAAAGACCGCTGCAGGCAAAGCTCACATCCACCCGGCTGCTGAGCCGGTCTCCTACTACTATGAAAGTGGGATCAGACTCAGGCAAAGAACTTGAGAATTAAACCCTCTGCATGAGAAAGGCAGGTAGCACCAGGGAGTCCTGGGCACTGAAAGGCGTGAGTACGCCGGCTTTGGAACGACCCGCCTGGCCCAGAGATCAGTTCCTTCCCTCTCCTGTCCTTTCCTCTCTGGAGCAGCAGTGTCTGCACCCGCCCCCTGGAAGGCTGGATGCCCCTTGGATTAGGCCCCGGCCCTCTCACGAGGAGGCGGACGGGCCTGCGCTGGGGCCTGCCCTGCTCTCGGGGTACCCACCTGCCTCCCTGAGATCCAGCGTGCAAGAGGATGCTGTGGATGTCGGGGCCCAGGCCGCTGGTGGTGCACTGTTCCAGCACGTAGTGGCCGCCCTGCTTCCGGCGAACCGTCTTCTTGTCCAGCCGCGGGCAGAGCGGGATGCAAGGCACCTGGGCGTACGGGCTCTGCAGGTTGGCAGCTGGCAGCGGTGGGAGAGGCAGGAGGGGGGCGTTTCAGAGCACACTCAGCCTTGGGAGCCAGGCCGACCCGTGGGAGGGTTTGGGCCACTCAATTGACCTCCCTGAACTGCTGCAGAAGCCAGAGATGATAGTGGCGTCCTCCTCAGAGTTGACAGGATTTAAGGGGTGGTGTATGTAAAGCGCTTGGCTGAATGCTGAGCTGATGAGCGCAGGCTGATAGCAGCTTAGAAAGGAGCACACTTGTCTAGTCGTTCGGAAAGCTCCTCGTCCACCCACCTGGCACACAGGAGGGGTCTGGCCTGTGTATAAACTCTCCTTTCTGACACATGCTCGCTGTGGGGCCTTAACGCAAGTTGCTTAAACTTTAATTTTCTCATTGTAAATGCATAGAGTATTAATAAACACATGGTTATGATGACTAAATTCTAGCACATCTGCAAAGGGCTTATCACAGAGAGTGACCCCAAGGGTGCTCAAGAAATGAGGAGCTGGGATTGCTCAGCCCCTCTGCCCTCCCAGTCCAGGCTCTTGGGACCAGCCGTGCTCCCTGGGCTCGGGCTCAGGGTAGAGTGTGGGGGGCTGGAGCTGGGGGTGATCGTCAGCACACAGCTGGGCCCAAAGCGGGGAGCCATGTCTCGGCCCCGGCTGGGGGCGCCTGGGGTGAAGTGGGGAGCCGCTGGGGGAGCCCGGGCTGAAGTGGGGAGCCACTGGGGGAGCCCGGGCTGAAGTGGGGAGCCACTGGGGGAGCCTGGGGCCCTCACCGTAGTTCTGCTGCTTCAGCCGGCTCAGGACCCTGAGGACTCTGCGTTCGGGCATTTCCAGGGTGTCTGCCTGTGGGGTGTTGTAGGGGAGCTTCTCCCGGGGCCGCAGCCGCCCTACGGCCGATTCCATCTCCCGAGCCTTACAGGTGCCTTCCTTCAGCTTCTTCTGGTAATAGCTGGGGAGCAGTGCCGCCCAGCTCAGCACGGCCACGTCTCCTTTCCCCTCCTCCTCCCTCCCTCTTCCTGAGCCCCTGTTGTGTCTGCCCAGCTCAGGAGCAGGGGCTCAGGAGATCTGGGCGTTCGTCCCGGCTCTGCCATTAACTTCTGTGACTGCAGCCAACTTGCTGCCCTGCTCTGAGCCTCAGTCACCCCATGTGAAGTGGGGAGACGGTTATCTCTCCCAGTCACTGCAAGTCACCTGACTTCTCGGGTGGATCGGTCAACGTTTTTATGGGGTTAAAAACAAAGATTAACAAGACCCATTAAGCATTCCTCAAATTGGCCCAAGGAAAGAGCTTGGTAAATATTACCCATGATTTCTATCACTGGTATTTTTACTTGGATGTGCAAATGCTTTGTAAGCCAGCTATGCAGTTAATTCCTGCTCATCTTCCAGATTTTAGCGTAAGGGCCATCTCTTCCAGGAAGTCCTTTGTCTTCCAGTAAGCTAGCTGGGCTCCAGCTATAGACCCCTGACAACCTGTACTTACCCCATCACAGCCCACTTAATATTCCTAACTCATCACTACTTGCCTTTTCCCCACTAGACCGCAGCGCCATATATACATTCATTCATTCAGATATTTATTAAGTGTTTGCTGTGTGCTAGTCACTCATCTACATGCTTGGGGCAGCACAGGAGATGTTTATTTAAGGCCCTTGTGTCGTCTCTCAGCCCCACCTCTTACCAGCCATTGTCACGGCAACCACTTCTCCATGGGCCTCAACGAGCTCTGCCCAGGGACACTGACGGGTCTCACCTCAGATCGTACCTCCTGCTTCTTGCTGCAGACTTCTGACACGTATGCAGCCCAGAAGTGCAGGGGAATTAAACAGCTGTGAGGGGCACCCTTGACCAAGGAGCCAGCTCTGGGGTATACAGGCTCCTCTCTCTTCCCCTGAGAATTCTGAGCCACCACTGGTAAGTCTTCCTGGGAAGACCCTGGGGTGGTTGACTCAACAGCACATCCTTGTATTGACCCTTTCTCCTCTGTTCACACCCCTTCTCTCAGTTCTGCTCCCTGGTATCACTTTCTGAATCAGCTTCCTAGGTCCTTATCTAGTCGAGAGTCAGATCCTGAACAAATAAAAATCATGTTCCTCGTGTGAGTAGTGATGGGTGCTTTGAGAGAAAGTAAAAGCTGAGTAAGCGATAGTGATGAACTCCGTTGTTCAGAGTCAGTGAGAGTCTCCAAGGTGGTGACGTCTGAGCTGGAGGAGGAGGGAGCAAGCTAAGGGGATGTCAGGAAGAGGCAGGCAGAGGGGACGGCTTGGGAAAGGCCAGGAGGTGGGAAAGAGCTTGGTGAGCTCCGGGAACAGAGGGGGCGAGAGGTGGTATGTGAGGGAGAAGCGGGTGGAGACGGACAGCAAGCTGGGAAGTCCAGCCCACCTGGGACTTCAGGCAGTGGTGAAGGGTGTGCGGGCTGCTCAGAGCAATGGACAGCCCTTACGGCTTCAGCTGGTGGCTAAGCTGGGCCTCTGCCTGTCCCTACAGCCTGGAGCTGGGGGTTTTCATGAGGGTCACACATAGGAAATGAACTCCAGAGCCCTCACATGGAGACTGGGTCCAGATCCCTGTGTAAAACTAGGGCCTGAAAAGGCAACATCCTAAGTAAAAAGATGGACTGGACGACGACTTCACCCCACAGGAGCCCACAGAACTGAGCAGAGTGTGTGCAACGTTCTCAGTCACAACTTTAAAGGAAACTGCTTGCTCTCTCCTTCCGCTTCTTATGGGCCTCAGTGTACATGTGTTTTGGTAAATTGGCTTAGGATCGACCCAGGGAATGGTTGGATGATCAGTGGGGAAGAAACTGGGTGCCTGAGCAACTCTGCCTTCCTGCCTGCTTCCTCCAGACCATCCGTGTGAGAGAAATAAACCAAGTTGTTTAAACTGCAGTACACTGGGGTCTAATCCTTAACCGACAGACTCGTCTAGAATTCTGTACCCAGCTGAACTATTCAGTAAGTATGACAGAATAAGCACTTTGTAGACATACACAACCTTAAAACTTTTGCCTCCCAGGCACCCTTTCTCAGGAAGTTCCTAGAGGGCACGTTCTTCCAAACTGAGGGCAGAAACCGAAAAAGAAAAGGAAGACACACATACAGAAAACAAGAACCCAACACAGAAGAACAAAGCGAGATGAGCCACAGATCCCACGATGGCAGTGCAACCCCCACAGCGGATAACCAGTTCAGATCAGATCACTTAAAATACAGAAACTTCAAGGGTTGCCATTCCCATACCTGTTGTTGAGTTACTGCCTTTCTAAGCCCCAAAAGCTACTGGTGAAACATGCTTCCAATTTTTTTTTTTTAAGCAAATCAAACCAAGAAAGAGGAGGCAAACCAAGAAAAGTTAAGACATGTGATCCAGTAGCCAGAATTCCAATCAGAAGGAAGGAAGGAAGAATTTCTAGGATGACTACAGACTCCCAAGATGAGAGCTCTGTCACAGGCCTAAAAGGAAATTAACCCCAAACAGAAGAATGGAGTTATTTAGAGAATGCTGCCAAGAAACAGCAGTTTTAGGAAGGTGCAAGAGTTATCAAGAATACAAAGGAAAAAAATATCAAGACAGGGCTTCCCTGGTGGTCCAGTGGTTGGGAATCTGCCTTACAGTGTGAAGGACCAGTTCAATCCCTGGTCTGGAAGATCCCACAGGGCAGGGGGCAACTAAGCCCGTGCATCACAACTACCGAAGCCACGTGCCTAGAGCCCACACTCTGCAACCAGAGCTGCTGCAATGAGGCTCCGGCACCGCAGCAAAGGGTAGCCTCGCCCCCGCCACTCAACCCTGCTCGCCACAACTGGAGAAAGCCTGCCTCAGCGATGAAGACCCAGCACAGCCAAAAAAGTCATTATTTCTAAAAAGGCAAGTGTTGACTTTCAGAAAATAAAACAGAAAATTAAATCAGTATTGAAGATGCCCAGCTATGAATAATCGCATAGCCATAATATTAGAAACCACAAACATTTAGTAAAAAGTGATAATGTATTGGAACGGGGAGGAGCTGAGGGGATAGTTGTATCAGACAGCTAAATTCTCACCATAACAGGAAGTCAGTAGACAAAAATCAATAACCAATATATTTTAGTGCATCCATATCATATAGACATAAATGCCAAAAATATTCAAGAAGAAAGAGTAAGGCTGGAGAGGGTGTGAAGAGGGAACCCGCTTATGCTGTTGGTTGGGAGTGTGTATTGGCACCACCACTATGGACAACAGTGTGGAGGTTATTTTTTAAAAAATGAAAAACAGAATTACCATATGACCTAGCAATCCCACTCCTGGGCATATATCTGGAAAAGATGAAAACTCTAATTCAAGAGACACATGTACCCCAGGGTTCACAGCAGCACTATTTGCAATAGCCAAGACATGGAAGCAACCTAAATGTCCATCAAAAGATGAATGGATACAGGGGTGTTCCCTGGTGGTCCAGTGGCTAAGACTCCTTGCTCTTACTGCAAGGGGTCCGGGTTCATTTCCTGGTCAGGGAACTAGATCCCACATGCTGCAACTAAAACCCAGCATAGCCAAATAAATATATCTAAAAAAAAAAAAAGATGAATGGATAAAGAAGATAGAATATAAAATGGAGCATTAATCATAAAAGAATGATTAATGAAAAATAATGCCTTCTACAGCACCGTGGATGAACCTAGAGATTCTCATAGTGAAGTAGAGTCAGAGAAAGACAGATACCATACAGTAATCACTTACATGTGGAATCTAAAAAAGAATGATACAAATGAACTTATTTACAAAACAGAAATAGATTGCTCTAAAAAGTCTGTGCTCCACCTCCCCCCATCTCCCCTCACCCCAGTCAGTACTAATCTTTTTACTCTCTTCATTGTTTTGTCTTTTCCAGAATGTCATGTAGTTGAAATTATAAAGTATATAGCCTTTTTCACTTAGTAATATGCATTTAAGTTTCCTCTGTCTTTTCATGGTTTGATGGCTCCTATTAGTGCTGAATATTCCACTGTAAGCTCCAATACTTTGGCCACCTAATGCAAAGAGCCAACTCATTGGAAAAGGATGATGCTGGGAAAGATTGAGGACAGGAGGAGAAGGGAGTGACAGAGAATGAGATGGTTGGATGGCATCACTGACTCAATGAACATGAGTTTGAGCAAACTCCAGGAGACAGTGAAGGACAGGGAAGCCTGGCATGCTGCAGTTCATGTGTCTGCAAAGAGTCTGACAGCAACTTCAGTTCAGTCGCTCAGTCGTGTCCAACTCTTTGCAAGCTTGTGGACTGCAGCATGCCAGGCTTCCCTGTCCATCACCAACTCCTGGAGCTTAACTCAAATTCATGTCCATCAAGTCAATGATGCCATCCACCCATCTCATCCTCTGTCGTCCCCTTCTCCTCCTGCCTTCAACCTTTCCCAGCATCAGGGTCTTTTCTAATGAGTCAGTTCTTTGAATCAGGTGGCCAAAGTATTGGAGTTTCAGCTTCAACATCAGTCCTTCCAGTGAATATTCAGGACTGATCTCCTTTAGGATGGACTGGTTGGATCTCCTTGCAGTCCAAGGGACTCTCAAGAGTCTTCTCCAACACCACAGTTCAAAAGCATCAATTCTTTGGTGCTCAGCTTTCTTTATAGACCAACTCTCACATCCACACAAGACTATTGGAAAAACCATAGCTTTGACTAGATGGACCTTTGTTGCCAAAGTGATGTCTCGGGTTTTTTAATATGCTGTCTAGGTTGGTCATAGCTTTTCTTCCAAGGAACAAGTGTCTTTTAATTTCATGGCTGCAGTCACCATCTGCAATGATTTTGGAGCCCAAGAAAATAAAGTCTGTCACTGTTTCCATTGTTTCCCCAATCTATTTGCCATGAAGTGATGGGACCAGATTGCCATGATCTTAGTTTTTTGAATGCTGAGTTTTAAGCCAGTCTTTTCACTTTCCTCTTAACGTATCGACTGAAA